ACGCTGGCCCACTGACCAATCACGCTGCACGTTAATGCTGACGTACTTGTAGGCTACCTCAGTAGCTCTGACACGTCAAAGAATACGCCCAACATGTCAAACTAAAGATCTGATTGGTTGAAGACGATGACAATCAACAATATTGTCGCCATATACTTTTATCATTTTGACCTTTTGATCATTTATTGGTCTCACTGATGTTTCTGTAGCATTCCAAACATCAAATCGACTTGCTTTTTGAAGATAACCTTTGGTCTAGGACTTTAAATCAAGTTTTTGTTTTTATTGGACAGTTAATGTACAACAGCGCTTGGACAAATCTTAACACGTTTTCTAAGTATTAATGTACGATGATGTAGATTAATAGATATATCTAAATGAAAACAATCAGAAGCCTTACGTTGTGTGATATTATTGTTTATTTACATTACAGTGAGGATAACTGGTGTTAACGGTGTTAGTGGAAAATGCAGTCTGAAGTCCAGACCGTGATTATAAGCTCCATGATAACATGACAGCAGCTCCCGAACCACCAGACTTCAAAACAGCTTCTTTCCTCTGGCTCTGAGACTCCGTCATTCATCCTCCACCCTCCATATAGAATCTCCTTTGTTTTCTGTACTATGTAGCAAATTGGGACTACAATCTAAATGTTGTTGTGCAACCCTGTAGTACAATGACAAATAAACTATGTAACCTTGTAAGTGTAAGCTAATTAAATGTGACACATTTTGATGTTTATGACTGTAACTTGCACCTAAAACACGTAGTTTAAGCACCGCAATTGTGCAAAAAGCCATCCTTGGTGACTTTTGACCTTTTCTTGCAGGGCGCTGCAGGTGACAAGGAAGGTGGACATCCTGACTCCGCTCGGAGCTCTGTATTACAACACGGGGCGGTACGAGGAGGCCCTGCAGGTGTACAGAGAGGCCGCCGCCCTGCAGCCCGACAGCACCGACATCTGGCTGGCTTTGGTGAACAGACGCACACCGACACACTCAAACACCCAATGAATCATGGAATGTCAGGTCGTGTGTGTGTGTGTGTGTGTGTGTGTGTGTGTGCGTGTGTTTCCACACACACACACACATTCACGCACGCCTTTTCTGTCCCAGGCTCAGGTTTTGGCCATGGCCGGTCGTACCAAAGAGGCGGAGAAGATGACCCTGGACATCATATCCAGAGAAGGCAGCTGTATCGAATGTTACCGCCTCCTGTCGGCCATCTACAGCAAGCGTGGAAACTACACAGAGGTGTGTGTGTGTGCGTCTCATGGCCTCAGAGGTCAGATAACTCACAGTTCGGAATGATCAGCAGGAGATACTTTCAGCTCCAACAGTTACCGTGAAGCTAATCACCGCTGTACATCTGAGCACATCCTCCCTCCATCACCACCGTCACTCCTTGTGCTGGTCTGTCTTTCACTTTCCCTATGACCCAGTTTCACAGTAAATATGAATTCTGTGGCATTAGTATGCAGATTGTTCACACTAGAAATCTACAGTAGGATAGCATGCCAGTAGTCATACTAATATCGATACCAGTGTGGTACATTCATTCAAAAATTGCAGCCAGAAATGCAACATTTTGATTTCAACTGCCCATAATATTTATACAGTATATAAATATCAACTATCTCACATTATAACCAAACTGCAGATCAAACCTGGACTGGACCATGTGTCACTAAAAGATGCTTATGTAAAGCACAAAAGTATTACCTGCAAAATGTACTTTTCAGTACTGAAAGGTAATACTACTATGCAGAATGGCACTATCGGTGTTACTATATATTGTACTGTTTGATCATTATTACTGATGGCTTGTTGGGGCTGAGCTCATTTGATCTACTTTATATACTTTTTATCTTAAACAGTCCATCATATTTTACAAACTAATTATATGTTTTTCCATATTTACGTCTTTATCTGGAAAGTAATTACACTGTAACACTCAAGAAAAGTGCTTCAGAATAGTACTTGTACAGTACTTGAGTAAATGTTCTTAGGTTCTGTCCCACACTGACCAATGAGCTTCACTGTCAGTCAATGATAGCAATAATAATAATAACTTTATATTACAACAGGAAAGCGACGACATGACATAAAAGCCAGTCTGTAAAAATGTGTTTTAAGAAGTGATTTAAAAGAGATTAATGATTCTGAGAGCCTCATCTCCTCAGGCAGCTCGTTCAGAAGCCGAGGGGTCCTGAAGGCAAAGGTCACCTTTAGTTTTCAGCCTCGAGTTTGGAACAGACAGAAGCCCCCCCCCCCCCCCCCCCCACACCGAGGATCTAAGGCTGCAAGCTGGATCATAGGGGGTCAACATTTCCTCTACAGTATATACGTTGGGGCCAGACCCAGACGTGCTTTAAAAGTGATGAGTAAAATCTTAAAATCCATTCTAAAACGAACAGAGAGCCAGTGGAGAGAGGCCAGGATTGGGGTGATGTGATGTCGTCTGTTAGAACCAGAGAGAAGCAGAGCTGCTGCCTTCTGAACTAGTTGGAGGAGAGAGAGAGACTTCTGGTTGATGCCAGAGAGGAGGAGGAGTTACAGTAATCCAGTCTTCTAAAGATGAATGCATGAAGGACTTTCTCCAGCTCAGGGTGAGAGAGGATTGGTTTGATCTTTGGAGATGGTTCTTATTTGAAGAAAACAGGACTGGACAACTTTTGTGGTTTGAAGTTTAAATCTGAATCAAAAACTACTCCTAAGTTTCTGACAGTGGACTTTATGTTAACGGACAGGGGGCCAAGGGCCCTTTAATGGGAGTGATGGGGTTTGAGGGACTACATATTATGATTACGGATTTTGAGTTATTGAGTTGAAGAAAATGTTGTTGATGTCATTAAGACAGTCTAAAGTAGCAGCTAGGCCTCTGGGGTCATCAGTTCTCAAGGGAAGGTATATCTGTGTGTCGTCTGCGTAGCGATGAAGAGAAACATTATCACGTTGGATGATTGATGAATGATGTGTAGACGTTCTTGCTAATGCTAGTGCTAGAAGCAAGATGTTTCTAGAGAAACGAGAATTCAAAGAGACTCTGTGCTCATACTTCAGCTGCTTGACAAATGTGCACATCTGGTTCAGTTGTTAGGACTGGCTGTCACACCGTATGTGCCCTGTGTTAGAAGCCCTACTTAATGACAAACAGAGCCATCTTCCCATTAGCGCAAGCATCCATGCTGTCTTGAGCTACATGTTGACAACTAAACTGGAGACTTTGGTGCACGGAGAGACATAACATGTCCTGCTCCGTGTGCTCATCGACTGTATCTGGCAACCCGCACTATAGCAGGAGATTCTGCTCAGAAGAGCTGGGTGGGAGGATACACAGTCTTTCATAAAGAAGTAACTCTTAACCATGTAACTCCCTCTAAAAACTTGTCATTTTTTGTTTGTGTACAGATTGAACAAACAAGATGGACTTAGACGTTTGGTAGGTGTGAACTTTGTATAGAGCGAGGCTTGCTTTTCCTCCCTGCATCCAGTCTTGATGCTAAGCTAGGCTAAGTACGCCCTGACTCCAGCTTTGCAATTAATGCAAAGATATGAGTTATGTAACATAATGGACCCTACATAAACTTGCTCCTCCCAATCTTCTCCTTTGTAATAGTTGTAGACTAACCCTAAACCCTCACACACCAGGCCAACAGTCGGGCCCTCGGCGAGTGTCTGTGGCCCTCGTCTTTGCGGTGTGTCCCGCACATGCCAATTGAGCATGCGGAGCCCATTGGTGAGAGAAATCACTCCGATTGGCTGTCCAGCTTAAGCGAATCAGTTCACGAGAACGGGAAGTGAGGAAAGCAAGCGAAATGACTAAAGTCAAGAGGGCGCACACCGCAGGCTCTCCTCCTTTTCATCTTCATCTCATCTGATCATTCACACACATATTTTCACATAACAACATGGCCATTTGGAATGAAACTAAGTAATGAGTGAGAGTGGTGGGAAAATGGTAGGCAAACGCTGCTGTGTTTTGTGTAGTCCTTGGGTTTCTGGTTTCACTTTTTGAATAACGAAAGCTGCTGGAATGGGGAGTCACTGCCTCTCAAGCGGGCGCAGAACATCTGTGTGTAAATAGCAGTTGGCTTTAGTCTTTGCCGTGAGGTCAAGTGCAACTTTTTCACCCAGACACGGCGACTTGAGGCAACACAACAGTCGGTCTTTGTTGCTGATAGTTCTTTGATGTCAGTTTGGTGTTTCAACAAGAGAGAATGAATACAGACATCATCTCAACATTCAATGCATATAATTTGTCATGTTTTAAATGTTAGCCCCCGGGACAGTATCTGCAGCTTCTGGGCTTTACTCTAAGAGTGGAAATAAAACATTGTCAGTGTGTCCCATGTTTTTGGGACAGTGGGTGCAGGCTCAGCTGGACTACAGTAGAGATGAAGCAGGGATCCACTGCTTCTGCTAACGTAGTCCCCCAACAACATGGAGTCTGACACAAATCCAGAAACGGATCAAATTCCTTGATTCTGTCAGTGTGGCAGTGATAAAGCTGACGCTGCACTCTGTCAGAGAGACGGGATTAAACGATGACGCTCTTCATCTCCGTACTCCTCACCTTTCTGTCTAACTCTGCTTTAAATCAGTTTAGGCTTCCTCTGCTCTGCATTGTCTGCTTCTTCTTCTCTGGCTCCTTGTTCAAACTAGAAGGTCGTCTTTCTGTAGAGCCTAGAAAGCACACTCAAACAGCAAGACACTCAACTGTAAGAGACGGGGACTTTTAGTGTGAATGTTCATTGATGTGTGTGTGTGTGTGTGTCCGTGCCAGGCGCTGGATGCTCTGGACAGGGCCCTGCAGCAGAGTCCCAGTGATGTGACAGTGAGGGCAGAGCTGTACTTCTCCAAAGGAAACCAGCTCAGAGAGATGAACCAGCTGGACCAAGCCTTCGAGGTACCGCTCTCTTCTTCCTCCACACTTGCTCTGTCTCAGTCTCTTCAGACAGGTTTCTATCCAAATGTGGCACAAATTTTAACCCAAATTTCCAGAAAATTGGCAAAGTACAATGGAAGTCAGGGGGTAGAGCAGGTCGTCCTTTAATCATAAGGTGGGCAGTTTAATCTCCGGCTCTTCATGTCTGCATGTCAAAGTGTCCTTGAGCAAGACATTGAACCCCGAGTTGCTCCCCGGGCGCTTTACAGCTGCTCCTCAGTGCTGACGATGGGTTAAGTGCAGAGGTCAACTTTTATCAACGAATATGACAATTTAAAATAAAGTTTCAAGTTTTTAATGAATTCCCGTTTCCATAACATGTTTGTTTCATGCATTCATTTGAGTAACTTTACAGTCTCCTCATTGCATTCATTGTGAATCACTTAACAAAACTGCTCCATAAGCCCTCCAATACAACTACATGAAGCGCTAGCTTCAGTTCAGTCAGGGAGACTATACTTCTGCATACTTAGGCCTGAAGGTTTCTTTCTCACTCATTCTGCCGTTCACTGCTCTCACACAGCCTCACTCATCATGTCCTTGCTCTCATTGTTTGGGGCTGTCAATCATGATATCAGCCGGTCTCTTTTATCCACAGCACAATGACACACCTACATCGTTAACCTCTCATCTCACTGCTGTTTTTGTTTGGATATGCTTGTCTTCTGCCTTTAGTACATCCATGCTGCTGTTACACACACTCTCTGTCGGCCCAGAATGTGTAGAGGAGAGAACTCTTTCCTCCACTTGTAACAAGCTGATTGCCACCATGCAGTCTCAGTCTAAATTCAGCGAGCTGTCCATGCACTCCTCAGGGCCAAACATGCTTCAGACTCACCGGCCTCCCTCATCACCACCAGGCCTCCTCATTGCAGCTTAAATTCTGTAATAGCGATGGGCCTCAGTTAGCCTATCTCGACTTCAAGGGTGTCAGGCTTTATTGAAGCAGTCATATTAGAGACAAGCGTAGTCTACAAACAACCTTCCTGTACCATAAAGCCCTCTACCGGTTCACTCTGTTAATGTCGCTGTCTCCATCTTATGTCACTTGTATGTTACTACAAGTACAGGTGTCTGGAAAAAAAATACACAGTCACCATTTTGTTATGTTTTATGTTGTTTCATATTGTTTCATTTATCAAATAAACAAAGGGAAGTACTTTATGGCCAGCTCATAAAGACAGTAGTTCCCTGGTTATTGCTGACCTCATCACAAAGCAGAAACTTTGTGCCATGTTGAGTCGGTGCCTTCGTCTGTTCTCACGATGCGTCCATCCGTTACGTTCATACAACGATGCCAGATTCTAATTTTGGGGTTCAGGGTCTGGGAGGACATTTCCACATGCTGACCAGAGGAGCTGGGGATCGAAGCGCCGATCTTCCTATAACAAGAACTAAAGGTGACCGTGCTTTAGCCATCATGACAACGACCTGCCTGAAGAGAAAAGGCTCACAGAAGCAGTAATCCATTTTAAACCACTTCTTAAAACCCACATTTAAAGACTGGCTAATATGTAATGTTGTCTTTTTACTGCTTTTATTATTTAGTATTTTCTTTTTATTTGTAACTATTGTATTGGTTTGCTTATTGTATCATCTGTTACACTGTTTTATCAGTATTTAAATGTTACCTTAGTTTGCTTTGCTTTTGTTTCGCCTCACTGTTTGGCTGTGTGTTCTTCTGTCACCTTGTGCCTAACGTTTAAACGTTTAAATGTATAAATAGAGAAACATATAACAGATCCAGCTCATTACTGCGACTACTGTTCAACAGATCTGTTAGCTCACTGAAACCCTCTGAATCTGTGGAGGAAGTGTCTGGAATGCATTTTTCTGCACAGGATTGACTTCCTGAGAAAAAGGATTGAGAGGAGAGCAAAGAAACACTTATAGAGAAATACTGGTGTAGTGGAAACAAGACGGCAAGAGCCAAGTAAGCCATCTCAGGTCACAGTATCTTTAAAGTTATCTCTCTGGTTCTCTGAAGGAGCAAAACAAACTGTTTGAAGTGCGGTTTAAACTGGTTCATTTTTGTCTGTTTTTTGTCTGAAGTGTGTCGGAGCAGAGAGTCTGGCTGCTGATTCAAACATCCACAGCCCTGCTCTAATCCCTGCAGATAGCAAGCATACATGAATGAGGTGCATATTTTGAGGGTTTTAAATGCTGAAACTGTTCCCGTTGCTCCATTTGTTTATTAATCATATTTTGGCCTTGAAAACCAAATTTCATCATGAGGTGTGATGAAGAGACTAAGATCCACAGCAAAGAAAAAGAGCACGGGTCAGAAATTGAACATAAGGTTTTCAAAAGTTTATCATCCTACTTGTTTTTGATTTTTTTATTCAGAGTGAGTTCATAAAAGCAAAGCCATCATCTGTGTTAAATATAACAGAGGGTAGAGGAGCAGCAGTCCCTTTGTTCAAATAGAATGATGTGTTCCACACAGATCATTGTTGACCTTCATGGTCTTCTAAGTGTATGTTAGAACCAAGATACACGTACAGTTGAAGGCCCTAACTGACACTGAAGTGGGAAATATTTGAGGGGTCGGACTGGGCCACTTAAATGTATTCTCTGCATGGGTCAGAAGCTGCTACTTTGTGTGAATGCATTCTATGGCGTGTCCTCTGTCTTTGACAAGTTTTTCACTCGCGCAACAGTTTCTCAATTTTCGTCTGTCTGGACCGGTTCCGTGCAGTTAAACTGCGGTTCACTGTATGGTTTGTGGACTGCCACTTTGAAGCCACAGGTTCGGCAAATTTGCCGTTACTGTGTTGGATTGCGGCGGTCACCATTTAGTTTTTTTGGCAACCAATGAACGGAAGTGACCATATTTGGAATGCAGAGGAGCGACCTAGAAACGCCGCATACTGCTCTTGTAGCAGTAGCTACCTGTGAATCACTGTGTAGCCCCGCCCTAAAGCATCCCCTGCTCTATGGTCTGTGTGACTCTAAATGGACCATAATGTACTAAATGAACATCATGCTGTATTGAAGAAGACTTGAAACTAGAGATTGAGACCATAAACTCATGTTTACAATGTTTACTGAGGTAATAAATCAAGAGAGAAGTAGAGTCATTTTCTCATAGACTTCTATACAACCAGAGGAGTCGCCCCCTGGTGGACACTAGAGAGAATGCAGCTTTAAGAGACTTCCTCATTGGCTTCACTCAGCAGAACCGGAGGTTGACGCCTGTTTCCTCTGAACAGAAACTGTAAGTCCTGCTGTGTGTTTATAGTTTGATTAGTTGTTAGCTCTTTTAGCTGTATTAGCCCTGTTAGTTGTTAGCTCTGTTAGCCAAACACAACGCAGGACTCTGCTGCCCACCAGCTGCTAACAACTTACTGGCTCTCCTCCTACTGACATGAGAAGTCATTGTTGTCAGTGCTCGTTTCAGTTTGTCATTTGCTAAGTCCCCCCCGTCTCTCGTTCTTCGTTGGAAGACCATTCCTTTAGCTAGATAAAATGAAATCGACCAAACAATTGCCCCCCAAAATAACAACCAGTGATACTGCCCAGCAGCTGCCTACAACCAACAGCTCACTAGCAGTCCTCCTGCGGATATGAGAAGATGCACTCTTTTGAGTCATTTGCTGAATGCCGTTAGTCTCGAACCCTGTTTTAAATTTCCACTGACTTTGCAAAGTTTGAACTATGAGATGATAACAATTATCCCTATTGAATACGGACCAATGCTTAACCGGTATAAAATATACATTTGGAGTTGTAGAACATTATCTGGAGTAATATTTGTACTTTTTGTACAAAACAAAACTATGGGTCCAACAGTATGCAAGTTCGGTCATGGACAGACAGACGGACGGACGGACGGACAGACAGAGACGCACACGCAGATGTTGAACGGTTCTTGGATGTTCTCTCACCTTACCTTCTCATTTTGGATCATATCTCCTGTTAGAGATTTGATTGTCAGTTGTGAGCTGGGCCTAGATCCGTGTCTTCAGACATTTATAACTACAATTAGACATGGGACAATATGAAAGTCTCATGGCACAGTTATCCTGGCAAAAATGATTGCAACTAACGCTGTTATTCCTGCTTAAACCCATGAAATGGCACTAAAACCTACTGGATTGACTTTGTCTTACATTTTGTTCAGACACACATTTTTTTATTGCGTGGGACACATGTTTGTAGTGAACATCCTTCTTTAGTGGAAAGAAAACAATCAATGAGGTAATTTAAAGTCTCCATGCATAAATAAAGGATACAAAAATAGTATGATTCTGTTCTTTCTCACATAATTCCTTCATTTTATACCGTGAGGATCACTCAATCAGAGGATCGACGGTCCTCTAGTCCAGTGATTCTCAACTGGTGGGTCGTGACCCAAAAGTGGGTCGCAGACCCGTTTTCAGTGGGTCGCGGGCCTTTGCCTGAAAAAAAAATAATTATAAAAAATACCGTGCTTTTATTTTGAAGGGGATTTTTAATGCAGCGGAGTTATTCACACTCCTTAACAGTATTTGATGTTAATGCCTTGTAATGCTAATATACACCCGCCATTTCACAGTAGAAAAGAACACCCACAAATGCTCATTGGGCGAAACGCAAGTACAACACCGACTACATGAGATATGGATTTTCTTACATTGAGGACAAAAGAGGACAAAAACCTCAGTGTGTTTTGTGCAGCGAGGTTCTGGCACAAGAAAGCATGAAGCCGTTTACTGGTTTACGTGAAACATGTGTGGGACGGGGACTGACGGGAACAATGTCTCTGCACTAGAGAGCTCCTACACTACGACTGCAGAGGACATCTTCAGCTCAGGTTCAAACTGCTCCATCTTTACATTAAATACATTTGAGAAGTTGAACATTTGGGTCGCGGCTTGTCACTAAGGGGTGATGGTGGGTCCCGCAGCCAGACCAGCTGAGAACCACTGCTCTAGTCCATGTGTCCTTGGGCAAGACACTTAACCCCAAATTGCTCCCGCGGCTGTTCCTGTGGTGTGTGAATGAGTATGACTGTTAGTTAGTCCTGGTGAGCAGGTGGCACCTTGCATGGTAGCTCCTGTCATCAGTGGATGAATGGATGAATGACGACATGTAGTGTTAAAGAGCTTTGAGTGGTCGGGAGACTAGAACAGAGAAATAGGTAGGTACAGTCCATCTACTATATACACACATGCAGGCAGAGCGGCCACAACATTGCAGAGTCGCTTCAGTTGTATTCATAAAAAATCCGGCAATGCGGCACCTTCGTGCGGAGGTTTGAGTGTTTATTTGTGCTTTAGTCACAGCCGTGATACAATCGGAGAATAACATTTTATTTCTCTGATTCACTGCCTTGTTGTCACTTACACCGCTCGCTCGCTCTCTCTCTCTCTCTCTCTCTCTCTCTCTCTCTCTCTCTCTCTCTC